TTTTTGGTTCTAATCACCATTTCAATGAAACTTGGTACATTGTGCAGACCTTATTAGTTTTACACTTAAATCTGTTAATATTAGTTACCTTATTTTCATAATTGGTTTTCTGCGTTTCCATTTTGAATTAATTGTTAATGTGTCTCCAATACTCTCAGCACACGGGAGTTCTTTCTAAGCTTTCTTTGATTCAATCCTAAGATTAGAAAATTAGCCAACGGGGAAAATTATTAGTGTCATATGATTACTTTCCACAATGGTCCAACATGAAAAGAGCGCACTTTGAAAAGTGTTAGCACCAGATGTATATTTTATGCGGTGACATCCTGATAATATTCGTGGATAAACAATGTTTATAAACAATCTTCACCCAAATTCTTATTTTTAAATGAAAGTTGTATTAATTTCAGATGTATGAATTAAATGAGATACAGGCGTATTACCTCTTGATCTAGTTTACACTAACCTGACGCGTCTGTTGCTTTTTAAAACATGGTTGTCTTACTTCACTGCGTTGTCTGTCATAATCTTGGAAAATATCATCATCCTTTCGTAGTCTTCTTTTTCTTAACATGCAAAATTGTTATCTAAAAAAAGTTGTTCCGGATTTTCAAAACATGTCATGAAATGATCACTGTATTTGAAAGGAGTTGTCCACTTATCTCCCTTAGTTTTGATGAATGCTGTCAAGCTCCGTTGGAAAAAAAAGAGCAAACTGACGTCATTTTTTGTTTTGCTGCAATCAGCAACTATGCATCGCTTTACAATGCCAAATAAGAGTTTTCAGCAAAGACCCTTAGAAGCGGTATTCTCCAGTATTCAGCTTACACAGTACACGGCAGTTTGAGCAAGTTCAACTTGTATGTCATTTGACTCCCAGTTTTCCTGGCTGGTGGCAGACGAGGCTAGATGTAGCACAGTTTTTAGTGGGTTTTTAAAAAATTACTTGAATTTGTTTGGACATATTCTAGACAGTTTTTACTATGATATATATTATTTGGTCATCGTCGTACTTTAAACAACAATGTCATTATGAGAATAAACTTTTTGCTAAAACACTAATTCCTAAAATCTGGTGTTTTATTTTGTAGGATTATTTCTGACCATGGAAGAGAATCAAGATTTCCATTTTTAGATGAGGATGTGGTGTCATTTCTAAATAGTTTGCCAGTTAATTTAAAGGTACATGTATGCTCAATACTTTCATGATGAAATCTAGATGGTGAATGTATACCACCTAAGTATGGTGAATATATTTTAGTGGATCACCCATGTAAATTTGCATTCTCATGACATCTACAACAAATTCAAGTTAATTTCATTGAATGGCAGGGGGATGTTTGTGGTTTCATGAACTACATTTCAGTGAACACTAAAAACAATTTGAAAACTCCTCTATATTTATATTCTTATACTGTATATACCAAGACCACCTAAGTCTATGTTTGGTAATGTATACTATGACCACCTAAGTCTATGTTTGGTAATATATACTAGAACCACCTACCGGTATGTCTAAGTTTGGCAATATATACTATGACCACCTAAGTCTATGTTTGGTAATATATACTAGAACCACCTACCGGTATGTCTAAGTTTGGCAATATATACCAAGACCACCTAAGTCTATGTTTGGTAATGTATACTATGACCACCTAAGTCTATGTTTGGTAATATATACTAGAACCACCTACCGGTATGTCTAAGTTTGGCAATATATACTAGGACCACCTAAGTCTATGTTTGGTAATATATACTACAACCACCTAATTCTATGTTTGATCAAAGACTATAAAGAAGAGTCTTTGGTTTGATAATATATACTAGAACCACCTAAGTCTATATTTGGTAATATATACTCAGACCACCTAAGTCTATGTTTGGACACTCAAATTGACTTGCCATTATGGTAATTAGGGTAAATTAAAATCTCAGGAAGAGTTAATGGGTATCAATTAAGTAAACAGGTGTGCACTGTGTTTTGGTCACTAGGCAGATTCAAATAAAACTAGGTACATTGGTAGCCGAGGACAGCGTACATACCTGAATAGTTTTGGGTTGAAATCCGTGCATACTATTTACCTAATTTGCATAATATGCATAATCTCATTTCAATTAAATTTATTTTCTGTGAGTACCGGTATTATAAACCTTAATACTGTGGATCACACTGATTTCACATTCTACATCTTAAATAGCAGATAAATTTTAGTTGCCAAGCTTCTTTTTTGAAAAGTTAACCTTAAATGTTGAATTCATTATAAATATGTCTCCAATGCTCTCAGGACACAGGAGTTCTTTCTAAGCTTTCTTTGATTTTTTATTTGCCAGTAGAGCTATAGTGACTGTTGTTCATTTTGTTTTTCAGGCCAACTTAGATCTTCCTCGTGGAATTGGTGAGAAATATTTATTGAGAGTTGCAGCTCGACTGTTGGGTCTGCGGGAAGCATGCTTATTACCAAAAAGGGCGATACAATTTGGATCCAGAATTGCTAAACTGGAAAAAAATAAAGAAAAAGCATCAGATACATGTCAACGTCTGTTAGAGTGATACCTCATAAACACAGTCAATAACACAATAAAATATTTATAATACATCATTGCACATTGTAATTAATATAAAACACCATTTAATAATTCACTTGATTTGCGTTATTAATAGTCAATACTTATCACAAGCACAAGACATAAATTATAACTATAACAACAAAAGAACAATTAAAGGTTTGTATATATGTATACTTACATGTACCTGGTAATCACAGTTTAATTAATGACTTATACCACAACATTCCATTGAGATCGTGAAATAAATGCACACACCAAATTGCTTTCCTCATTGCTGTCAGTGGAATGAAACATTTGCATAAACAAAAAAAAGCCTATAGTTAAGGCCCAAGGTATAAACTTGCTGAAGCGTTACCACGACAACAATACCCATCCATGGAAATGGTTTATACATAGGAAATTGCACAGTATTGGTGGAGTCAAATCACTGTTGAGAGCCAATTTTAAAATAAAACTTTTACCTCTTAAAGTTGAAATTGCTTCCTTTAACTGTAATGGTATAGCCAATTCATTAAAAAGACGGGAAATGTTTACTTGGATGAGGAATAATAAACCTCATAATATATTTTGTTTGCAAGAAACACACTCTTCATTGGACCAAGAATGTCTTTGGAATTCTGAATAGGGCGGGGATATAATTTTCAATCAGGGTACGGGAAACCAACGTGGTGTGGCTATTTTTATAAAGAATAATTTATCTTGCGTTATTCATAATCGGAGAAGTGGCCAAGATGGAAGATGGATTATGATCGAAATGACAGTTGATTGCTTACCTTTATGCCATAGTATGTTTATATGCTCCAAATAATGACAACGCAAATTTTATAGATAACATTATTTCCAATTTTGGCGTTTTTTTGCGATTCTACGGAAATATTTATCAGTCTGTGGAGATTTCAATGTGGTCCAAAATGAAATAGTTGACAGGGCGGGTAACACAAGAGGGCCTCCACATGGGTAAAAATAAAAAACGAAGTGCGAAATACCCGTTTTAAAAGGTGTAAAAATCGAAGTGATGCTTTTTAAAAACTGTAAAAAAACGAAGTGAAAATCTTATAAAAATTGTAAAAGTGACTTGTTTGAGTTATAGAAAGTGAATATCCTGTATCGATGTGATTATTTTATAAAATTAGGAAACTGAAGTGAATTTCTTATAAATATGGAAGCGATACAAATATCATACATGGCATACATTGCCGAACATCGCCGGCTTCGCTGATTCTTGCACAACAAAATCTTGCTTGGTAACAAAAAGAACTAAAAGCGTAATATGTTACCCGCATCTTTATTCGCTTGTCAAATGACGGTCAAGTACCCTACACCAGGTTTATTTATAAACTACACCAATCAGAATGCATGTAATGAA